AGGAGTGCCGCAGCCAGTTCCGACACGAGCGCTGGGACTGCCGCTGGCCGCCCGCCGCCCGCCGCGGCCCCGCCGCCCTCGGGCAGCCGCTCAACAGCGGTGAGTGACCTCCAGGCACGGCGGGAGGGACACGGGGCTGGCCCCGTTCTGGGTGTGCGTGGCCAGGAGCCCGCGGGGAGCGTCCCTGAGCCCCGGCGGCAGAGCCGGTCCCCGCCGCCGCCGCGGGAGCTACCGCGGGCACACCGAATGCACCGAGCGGACGAAACCTGCCCTTGTCTTTGCTACGCTGCTCTTGCTTCTTGTAATTTTCCCGTAGTACGTCCGTGGATGACACTGCCCCTGGTTAGATCTACTTAACTGTGTTGAAATGCTGTTGTTCTTAGGCTTAGGTTGGGTTTTATCCCCTTGTGTCATAGTTACTAAATAAGTGGGTCTGTGACATATTATTTCGAAAAGATCACTTGCAGGTAAAAAAGTCTGTTCAGGGCACTAAATACAATGTGAAATGCTTTAAAATGTACCATATGTTCTCAGTTATGTGTCATTGATCAACACAGTAAAGCCAAAGCTGCTTTTTTTTTTTTTTCTTTTTTGCATAAAATATTTATGAAATTGCTGGAATTTCCCCTGAAAAAAGGATGAGGTTTTTTGTATCAGATGTTGCACAAAAGATTTCCTGCAAGTTGCAAGGATCCTGTAACTTTTTTTTTTTTAGCTCCCTGGTAACTGAATGTGTGATAGACGCGTTTTTAAGTATTGGGGTACTTGCTTTGTGTTCATGCAATCTTCACTTTGTACTAAAAGAGGCTAAAGTCCCTTAGCTTTAATCATGGAAACGTAAAAAGTGATGCATATCCCAGAAAGGAAAGGGAAAAAAAGAAAATGAGAGTTTTCCCTGCTGTGTGGAGCCATATGTGTGTTAGTCCTTCTGTTCAACAGGAGGGACTGTTTCTGAAGACCCATAAATGAGTGCCACTATTCACCCACAAAGCTTCACTGGCGTGTACTGTAGAAGCCCTTTATGACGGTACCACCACCACAGACTCATACAGACATGAGAAACAAACAGGAATTTTTCTTCCCACTAGCAGGAGCTTTGGAGACTGGAAATAAATAGTTTTCACATCAGTGAAAATTGGCCCATTTCAGTAAAATTTCAGCTACATTTATTGACCACTCACTGATACTCAATTTGCTTAGAGTATGCTCTGCTTAACACAGTCTAAAGCTGTGTGCCACGTTATGCCAGAAGTTTCAGAGAATGGGACAGGCACAAGAAGCCCAGGCTGGTCCCTCCATGATTCTTCTGAGACATAGTGTAGCAAGGAAAGGCCTTTCGTGCTGCTGTCTTTCCCATGCCAGCTTATTCTAGGAAAAGCACATGGCCTAAAGATCTTTGTGCCATCCCGATTTCTGCCTGGTTTAAGATTTTTAGGGCTCTTTGAAACCTTTGTGAATTAGAAGAACGCTAACGTTTGCTAAATTTAGCATGAAGTAAGTTTTGGCCCTGTACCAAGTAACCTGGGATCATGACAGATCCTCTGAGATTTTAACTGACCTTTTCTTCTTCAAACCAATATGAATAGTGAAAAGCAGAGTGGAGAGTAAGGGGTTTGGAATGTGGTTAGCTTTGAGTTTGATTTTTTTATTTATTATTTGGCTTGAAAATTTCCGTGGCAAATAAAATCCCTAATCAGATTTAGAAAGAAGTTACCAAAAAATTGCTTGGTACAAGTAGTGAGAAACAGCATCATTAATAACATGGTCATATGAGGAGGCCCTGAAGTCATTTTGGGGTATGAACATCCACTGCTTTGAACAAGTTAACGCGACAGCCCAGGCCGTGATGACTTTAGACTTGTAACCGTGCTCTTTTAATAATCATCTGTCTTGTAAAGGGCCTGTGTGTAGCCCAGCCAGGAGGGCGACCGGGGGGAGTCATGGGGTGACATTTCACGCCTTGCCGTGCAGGCACGAAGGAGACGGCGTTCGTGTCGGCGGTGACGGCGGCAGGGCTGGTGCACTCGGTGACACGGTCGTGCAGCGCGGGGAACATGACCGAGTGCTCCTGCGATGTCACCCTGCGGCACGGCGGCTCGGCCAGCGAGGGCTGGCACTGGGGCGGCTGCTCCGACGACATCCACTATGGAATGGCCTTCAGCAGGACCTTCCTGGACGTGCCTTTCAAGAACGTAACAGGCAAGAGCGGGAGCGGACTGGCGGCGATGAACCTGCACAACAACGAGGCCGGGAGGCAGGTAGGTGTCATTCAGATGTGGCAGCACCTGCTCGGTGACCTTCATTGACAAAATGGCATCAGCCAAAGGAGGTGGGTTCCTGGCGTGAACAGCAGGAACATGATCAAAGAAACATGTACAAACTCAGAATCAGAGCTGGTTTTAACCAACTAATCTCTGTATGTTAAAATAAAATCCACAAAAATGTAGTGCTTAGGTAGCAAATTTATCTTAATTAGATATTTGATATTCAGTTGCAAACTTGAAATAGTCCTGTTATCAGCGTATAATGATATGATTTTGGTGACTGATTATTCTGTCACTATCATGACCTGCATTTTTAATTCTCTCTAATACTGAATGAGAAGGCCTCATTACTCATCTGCAGTCTGCAGTCCACACCTGCAGGTGCAAATTTAACGTTGTTCAAAGGGGAAATAAAGAGTTAATATTTTCTGTAAAAACATGGGATAGAAATGATACCTCCAAAGTAGATCATTGGTTAGGACATGTATCAAAGAAGTGAAAGGAGACTGATTTTAGATGGCTTCTTTTCATCCCAAAGAACTTCCAACCCAGGGCTGCTGAGGAAGACTCTGTGTTTGGGTGTATGACATTGGATTCTCCTTCCTGTCCTGCAGAGGATGTAAAATGGGGGCAGAAGTCACTTATACAGGGAGATGTGAGCCTGTAATCTAGTGCTTGGAGCTTACATCTGGCATGGCAGAGATTTGGAGCCTTATTTTTACTTTAAAATTGCTTTCTCTGCTTTACCTTGGAGATTTTATCTTTAATGGTCTCTCTGGGCCCATAATACTTTAAATCTGTTCTGCTTAGTGACACAGTTTTAGCTAAAGGAAAAAAAAAAGAAAGGGAAAACCTCTGGTTTTGACTACGCATTTTGATGGACCCATTGTGACTCCAGAATTTCCTGTAGCTGTAAGCAGGATCAGTGGGTTTTGCTTAACCAACTTTCCTATCTGCCATAGACAAGGAATAGCCATTGTAAGCCATCATAAGAGCCATGATGGTATAACTGAAAATTACTTTAATTTGAAGTAGTTTTTTATAGGTAATATGTGTTATTTCATATAAGCTATGTAGTTGGAAAAGCAGAAAGTCTTTCAGGTTCCTTCCACAATTCCATGGTACTGTGACAAAGACCCTTTTCATAACTGAATTAGATAAAGCAAACTTTAAACCTAAGTAAAAGCTGAGAACAGTTACTATTAATTTAATTAGGTGCCAGTCAGCTAAATAATCTCCAAGGAACGGTGATTGGTATCTTGTAGTAGGAGATGTTAATAAGAGAAACAGAAGATTAAATGATTATTTGCTTAAGGAAAAAGTATTGTTTATCATATTTTTAGAGTGAAATAGTTAAGGAAGAAATATATAGTCAGCTTCCATGCATAAATATTTTGTAATTTCTTGGCAAAATGTAGGACAAAACAAATATTTTGGTCACTGTCCAGAATGGAAAATAATGTTTATTGTTGGTACTTGGGATTTCTAGCAGCAATATTATCTGAAGTAAAGTTAGCATAACTCTTCCTTTTTTGTATTTTCAAATCTTAACTAGGAGATGCTGGAAAATGTTTGCCTTCATGTTTTGGGGCTTTCAAGAAGGATGTTTTGATCTCTTATGACCTTTTATAATAAACTCCTATTTCAGTACAAAACGTTGTTTTACACTTCCACATTTCATAGTTATCATATCAGCAACTAAAAATTTTATATTTTAAAACTCTGTGTCTTTTGAGTTGTCCACTAATCTGACTCAGAAAATTCAGATTGCATCCTTATTCTGTTACAAGAAAAGCATTCATCATCTTTTAGCATGGCAATTTTCAGTGTACTTAGATGTCCATATATGAATTGAGCTCTTCTGCTCCTTATAAAAAAGGATGTGGGGAGTCAGGCACTATGGGTTGAGTACCACAGTAGTCAACTATGGTAGTCATAAAAAAAAACTAAAAAAAAAAAATTTAAAAATACTAACAATAGTATTTTTTTACTGCTGGAAAAATTCTGCTCACTTTTCCACTTGTGGAAATTTATTTGATGTGAGACTTGTGTTCTCTCATTGAAAAACCTGGCTTATCAGAGAATTTTTTTTGCTGATACTTGTGGATTGGTAAGAGACTCACCAGCAGTTAGAACTGTTCTTAAGTGATGCACCTCTGGTAGGACGTGCTTGTCTTCACCAGTGGCTGAAATTGGGACATTTGATTACAGGCATTGGTTCCTTTGACAAAACAACTACTGGCAGTCCTTGTCTCACAGCTGAGAACAGTGCCTGCAAACAGAAAGCTTAACTTGGAGGTGTTAAGCATTAACTGGCATTAGAGGGTATGCAAACTGTGATTCCATTGACACTCTTCATTGCTGCAAATCAGTCTCTGCTTTCTGCCTCCTCTGTCTGTTTCAGCCACAGGTTCCCACCCTGTGCTGCTCCCTCTGTTAATTGCAATGGATCTGTGAAAGGAAGACAGTTTAAAAATGATCTTTCTCTCAGGTTTAATTTTCAAAAAGAGCGGTGTTCATCCCGTTCATCACTTAACCCCTCACTCTTGCTGTGTGTGTTGTACCACCAAGGCTGAGTGGTGGCAACAGGGGCAGGAGGAACTGCTCAGATGGGTTTGTGGCTGACCACAACACTTGTGGACCCAGCTCAGCTCCACACTGACCATTTCTCACAGGCTATCAGTCAGTTCCATACCCACCTAAGAAAACCTGTCACAACTTGCTCAGAACAACACATCTATCTGTCTATCCCCTAGGTTTCTGTAACAGTGCTCCTCTGGAGCTCTCCATGGAATTTTGTTTCATAGGGAGAATCCTCTCACTATTTCATGAATAACTGAATAGATTCCCATATGAATTTGAAGTGTGGAACAGAACACTGGTTGTGGAGTCAGTCTGGAAGTCGTGGTCCCCGTAACTCTGCAGTCACTGGGCACTGCTGAGACACAGGTGTGTGCTGCAGCTGTGTCACACCTGAAGGGTGGCTTTAGAGGCACGATCTTAGGTTTGTTTGCAACATCAGGAAAAGATGCTTAATCCCTAAATTTTTCCAGATGTTCAATTATGGGAACTTTTTTGTTGAAGTTCACATGGCAGACTGAGATGCAGCAGCATGTTCTGTGATCAAGCAAAGCAAAATGTCACCTCCCTGTGCTGGCAGCTTAAAGTATATTAGAGTCCAGGCTGAAAATTTGCCCAGCTTAGCAGCTAGAAAGCAAGACACTGAATCACATTTGTAGTTCCTGCATTCATCTTCTCATCCACACACTGCTAATGTATGCTGCATTTTTATATTTTGATATCAGTCTAAGACTTCAACATCAGTTTCTGCTCCTGTTTAGAAATGGTCTCCCTCTACTTTTGTTTAATTCATCCTCAGATGACTCTGAGTGTCATCTGCTGGGCTACCTGCCCACATGGAAGTAACTCACCCTTTGAACCAAGCAGGCATGTCCAGAGCTTCCTCTGATAATTTCTGGATCCTTCAGCCCTTAGTAAGTAGTGCAGTGAAAACAAGGATTACATCTGTAACCTTATAAATCTAGTAGTACAATTTGATTTAAAACTACTTTGAGATTCTAGTTATTCAACAAAAATAAATTATCATTCAAAATTTGAAAAATACTATTAAATCCTCTCTATTTTTAAATTGTGTGCAAAATTTATCTTTTGATATTGTGTTTCTCTTTTCCTTCACATTTTTATTAGGTCATCTCCCCTCTTGCAGACTTTTTGTCCTTTTATTTTAAATTCTTATCTGCCTCAATCACTCTTACATCTTAATGATTAATATTATGACTACCCAGTGATTTCACTATTGACAGATTCTCGAGGTATGAGCAAGGCCAAGTCTGTCTATTAAAGAGAAAGTAGTCTGTGTAGAAGAGATGGTAAGTATCTACCAGTGTTAACTAGTATGATTTGCCACATAAAGAGTCTGTATGTGCTCATGGGTGAGAGTTTGCTTGTTGCAATGTTTTTATTTCTTCCAGTAGTGCAGAAAAATCTCCAATTGCAAAAGCAGCCCACAGCACGTGGAAGTGTCTCCTGTACAGGTGCCTCTCTTCTCCAGGTTTAATTTGCAAAGGCTAATGGCTGTTCTAGGTCAGGGCCTATGCCTGCTCTTTCTTGTTAATGTTTTTTGTGAACGTCTTGCATATTTGGCTTCCATAGTAACCTCCACCTACAAATCATTCCTGTTTATTCACCAAAGATGTGACTCCAAGCAAACAGTTAAATCATGTGTTTTTTAAAATGTTTGTATAATTTTGTCCAAATGTCAGCTCAAGATTGTGTACCTTTGGGGCAGAATGTGGCAGGAAGCCTCAATGCCCACTGAAACCAATGGAATAACCATGCTGGACTCATCCCCAGCTTCAGTGACCACAGTCACCCACATGAAAAGTCCCAGTTTAGCACACAGATTAGAAATAGCTCATTTGATTTGCCCTATTCCTTGGCTGGTTGTGGAATTTGTGCTGCCTGAGCTACCAATGTGGAGCCTGGGACTTGAGTTTTTTTCTGGTCCTGCAGAGGGCCAGTGGGGCTCGGTAGGATTTGAGGTCTCAGATCTCACTGAGAATCAAGAATCAAGAATCTGCTTCACTGAGAACCAGAATCAAGGCTTAGGAACTGGCACAAATGAAACTACTTTCACAGGTACAACCAGAGAAGGATATTTGTCTTCTCTTTTTTGAATTCAGTTTCAGAATGATATAGACTGACAGCAGTTAGTATCTGTGGAGGCTAAGGGATAAGTGAAGGCTTAGGATGAAATTTAATAAACATCTTGTAGTTGGGATGTTGGGTTTTCTTTTGTTTTCCCCATGTTTTGGTAAAAGTGGTTCCTCCAGAGAGGATTAATTTGAATATGCATTGGTCTTGATGTATGAGAAGTTTCCAGACAAACTTACTTGTGAGATAATTTAAAATCCACACTTACTGTTAAATTTCCCAATTGCTTTGATTTTGGAAATTAAATACGGGGGGAAAAGTTAATAAAATGTAAGATGGCAGCACGAGCTTTTCACATTACTAACCAATGGCCCATATGAGTCTACAGGATGTCTCAGAAGGTACATTAATGCAAATGTGAAACAAACCAAAAATGATGATATCTTGTGCTACATGTGTACATGTGTGGTTCTTCAGTGCCCTTTCCAAACTCTAATGTGAGGGTTGTCACAAGACTAATTGTATGATTTTATACCATGACTATTAGATGTTAGAGAAGGAAGTATTGTATTCATTGTCTCTTGAGTGTTTGAGTCAGTCTCTAGATAAAGATATGAGACAAAGGAAGTTACTGCTTGTTTACAGATTCCAGTTATTTGAGGCTTGATATCCTATAAACTGTGCCAAAATTGTTGTGTGTTATAAAAAGCTTAACACAGGCTTCAGATTCCCATTGTTGGTCAGAGCTTTACTGTTCAGCCCAGCCCTTGCTTCTGCATGGGCATGGAAAAGTAACTCAATTAAGGGTATTTAAGTGTTGTCAATAACTGTGTAAACCTTGCTAAAGCATTGAGAGTTTTAATTCAATATGAATGTAACTTCCTAATTGTGTGAAATAGAGCTATTATGAAACTGGAAACACTAGAAACCCATACTAGAACTAGTTAAGTCTAAATTAAAAGAACAGAGCTTAAGACTATAAGTGAGAAGCCCCTGAGATTTATTACAGAATACCTGAGCTGAAGACACATCTGCCAAACCATGGTGGGCCTTTTGATAGACTTTCTGTGAAGCTCAGAGATGTGGGCATCCTCCTGCTCTTTCCACAGTTTGCCCTGAGGTGCCTCCTCTTGTGCTGCTTTGGGTGCAGAGCCACATTGGTTGCCCAGGCACTGTTGTGTGACTTCAGCCATTCCTGTGGCCTTGGTTACAAACAGGGCTGTGAATGTTTAGTGGTCATCATGGTAGCTGTAAAGTGCCCTAAAAAGGCAACTTAACCGGGCACTTACTTGCCTGGTAAGTGCCTTCCAGCATAGGAAGGGTGCCTTGACCTGCCCTATCCTTGCTTTCTTTTTCTGCTATTCCCCACTAGACCCTTTAACCCATGAGAGCCTTTTGCATTCCAGCAGTGGGAGGAGTGACTCAGGACATGTCATCCAGGTATTTAGGATCCTCCAGAATGGAAAGCCATCCAGAAATCACAGCTTTCACTGTTGTGGTCAGTATTGCTACATTACACCCATTGCAAACTGCAAACGAAGAGCACATCTGAAGATCATGCCTCTCACAGTGGGGGTCCAGGTCTGGAAACCTGGTTTGTAACACATGCTCTAACTTCCCTGTTACAGAAATGGCAGTGGCAGCTGCAATATTAAATACTTTGAGACCTCTGTGTTACTGATGTCAGGCAGCATTCCTGATGAATGAAAGACCAAATGTTGTTCTCCCTTTGCTTTCAGGCTGTAGCAAAGCTGATGTCTGTGGATTGCCGTTGTCATGGTGTTTCTGGGTCCTGTGCTGTGAAAACTTGTTGGAAAACCATGTCATCCTTTGAAAAGATTGGCCGCTTTTTAAAGGATAAGTATGAAAACAGCATACAAATATCAGACAGACTGAAAAAAAAGCTGCGCAGGAAAGAGAAAAGCCAGAGGAAAATCCCAATCGGGAAAGAGGACCTGCTGTATGTGAACAAATCACCCAATTACTGCGTCGAAGACCAAAGACTGGGGATCCCTGGCACTCAGGGCAGAGAATGTAACCGCACCTCGCAGGGGCCCGAGGGCTGTAACCTGCTGTGCTGTGGGCGCGGGTACAACACCCACGTCGTCAGGCACGTGGAAAGGTGCGAGTGCAAGTTTGTCTGGTGCTGCTACGTGCGCTGCAGGAGGTGCGAGACCATGACCGACGTACACACCTGCAAGTAAGATGAAGTACAGGAAACCTGGCCAGACCATCCACGCTGTGTGGTGCACTGGGGCAGCAATCACTGTTACCGTGTGGGATTTCAGAGGGATCGGCCTCGGGGGGAACAGGTTCTGCCGGACAACGGGGAGCCCAAGCATGCCGCGACCGAAACAGCTGAGCAAACACCAGGCTGCACGCAGGGACAGCTTAGACAGCAAAAAGGACTCCTGATGACACATTTGAACGTGTTACTCCATGAGCAGGGACAGATGCTAAACTTTTCAAGCGTTCAATAGACACGGTGTCCTGAAGATCCATGTGGTGGGTAGGTACAGTGGAGAAATGTCAAGATCTCATTGAGCCAGAGACAGAAGAGTTAAGAGAGTTTGCAAAACACATTGTCCTTATGTCTGTGCTTTTAAAACTGGGACTAGATGGATCCACTAGATAGTTAATTTTTGCAGACTTCAGAAAAACCCACAAAGGTAGGGAAGGAGTTCAGCTGTTGACCACAAAGCATTTGCTTTGCAGCCGTTCAGAAAACTGCCTTCTGCATAATGTGCAGGAAAGTGTTGGGAAGTGAGGAACATGTGTGACTGCAGAGAGCTCAGCAGTGTCTGCTGGAAAAGCTGTGCCCAGGGGAGAGAGGCAGGAGAATGTGAATGGGGTACCAAATAGCAATCTCAGGATTTTTAACATGTTGTCCTTCAAACATGCAAGGGATAAGTCTGAGAAGGGACCAGTTTGACATTTGAAGGAAATAAAATCCTCTGCAGGCATTTCCTGAGTATCTGAGCACACGTTTTGTAAGTCAGCTGGTTGTCACCCCAGTCTTGAATTCTATGCAATAACCTGCTGCATTCAACTATCTCACTGGTGATTCACCATCATTATCAAAATTTACCACATGAGATTTAGACCAAAGGAATCTTCCATAAAGCAAAGGATTTTTTAAAACATATTTTCTTTATAGAATCAGCAGCTAGAATTTTTCATTAGGTTGCATCCTCAGTAAGTTCAATGCACAGTGTAATTTATAGATTGACTCACACCACTAAAATATTTACACTGTTAATGATAACATTTTCTCTGTCTCCATATGTTGGCTTAATTTTATTTTACATCTGTGAAAGATTGTTTATTTTTATGCAGTGATTTAATGCCTGGCTTAAAAAGCATCATGTGAAAGGATTACTGTTGTTTAATTGTGCAAAGAACTATTTTTGATAAGACAAGAAAGTTTATATTTTGTAAATATTTAAATTATGCAAGTTATGTAAAAGGTTTCCAGAACTAATGTGATAAGACTACAGCCCTTGAGATTTGTTGGTTAGATATTTGTTGATATTGTAGTAGCCTTTAATTGATTTTTATTTGCATGTGCTGGGGGAAATGAGTCAGAGAACTGCATAAATGTTAGGGGTTTTTACCATCAGGGTGGTTATAACTATTGCAGTTCATACACACTGATGAGAAACACTATGACTTTGTAAATGATCAGTTAATTAGTATTATGCATACTTTCTTTTTCATTATTCTCTTAAATACATTTTACAAACACTGAAATCCCAGGTCCAGCAGTAAGTACTCCCACTGAAATCAAGGGAACTTGGAAGGGTTTGCAATCCCTTTTCTTCTTTCATACTAACAGCCAGTTTTTAGAAACTTGGGACAGTTTGGCTGGGGCTTTCAAAGTTACTTTGAAGAATTCATTTCCTAGTTGTCAGTTATTTTCCCTGGAAAGATGGTGACCAGATTCTGAACTGTCACTCTTTATTGGATGTGTAGGTCAGGAAGAAGGAAACAAAATCTTCTGTGTTGTGGTATTTCATTGCGTTACGTGGATTATCTTAGGAACATCAGTTCAGCAACAGTGGAGTCCATTATCTGCTATTTGGACCTTTACTCCACATTGGCCAGTCCATCTCCATTGGCCTGACCAAATTATGATCTTGGGACCACAAAATCTGCTGTCTTTGGGAAGGGTGCTCAGCATGCCTCACTGTCACAGGAGGTTTCAACACCTTTTCTGTGAAAACTTGGTAGGGAGGACATACCATGGTGGAAGACCCTGAAGAGAAAGTTGTGACCCAGGCTGTTTCCACCGTGAAAATAAACCCACAGGTTCTTCAAGCTGTACCACAGGACTGACTGGCAGCAAGGATGGATGATGACAAAAAAGCACTAAGTCCAGACAGAACAGTATCATACTCTCTGCTGAGACCATATTTGGGATAATACAATTTTGACCACTTAAATAACCTTGAAATATTATTTGAACTCCAGTAGTTGTTTTGGGTTTGTTTTTTTTTCCTGTTCCTGATTTAAAGATCGGCAAGAGAAAGAGAATTAAGTAGCTGCTTTGGCTGCCTCCAGGGATCAACAACTTCCCAAAGGATGGAGTGATTTCCATACATTTTACATAGCAGGCCATGTAGTTGGACTATTACAGTGCTCTGTGCCGATCCCTACCTCTCTCCACATATATTTTAATGCCATGAAACATTGTTTTCATGTCTGCATATTTCAAATGATGATAAACAGATGATTTTCATTTTACTAATATACTACAAAACACAAGGTATAGCTGTCTACATGGTGGCCTAGGTCTTTTTTAGGCACTTATGAGAACTAAGATATAAAAGTCAGAAATCAAGACATCCACCAAGGTTTTCAATGAGATGATTCACCTACCAAGACCTGGGAACTTGAGGCTGTACAGACAAAAACAGGCAGAAAAGGATAAGTAGAGAAGATTGTTGTAGCATTTGGTAGGAAAAAACATTTTTGCAAGCTATGTTCCACAGAAGATAGCAGTCTCTTCCACTGCCATTGATCAAGCCCAAAGAGGAGTCATGACTCCTTCTCAGTTTAGAGTTTCATTTTTCATGTTTTTGCATGAGCCTGCAGCTATATCATGCTATGGACAACCCTAAGAAAGATACAGACCTTTCTGAGGCAACAGGTGATTACATATTTAGAGATTATAGCAATCAAAATACAAGATTAAAGGACCTGGTTTGCAAGTTCTGGACAGGAGAACATAGGGAAAGGAAGAATGTAAAAAGATACCTAAATGGAGAGTCATCAGTTTTTAACTTGGTAAAAAGTAATTGTTAATTTTCAGCTACGAAGATTTGGACGGCACATGAGTCAGCCCACCTAGATGGACAGTTCAGCAGAAGTGATCTCTGAGGAATCTGTTTTAACCTATGAATCTATGAAGGATGCCTTAGATCTTTGTAACTTTGAAAGGGATAACTACAGAGGCAGCAGAGGAGGAACTAAAAGTGGCTTTAATGTTATCAGAAATGCAAAGAAACAACTCAAGCAGGGCATGTTCTCTCTTGCCATTCTTCACTTTTTCACCCCCCAGGGAGGCAGGAGCAGGATGTGGCTGAAGCTCAGGTGTTTGTGCCCTGTTGTCCTGTTGCTCAGAGGGTGAGAAGCAGTGTCCCTTGTATCCCTTGTACAGCATCAGGAGCCACTGACACCCCATGGTATCACAGAACAGGTCAGGAGCTGTTCTCACACTTTCCTGCTTCAGCCTCAAAGTTCCCATCCAGCCTTACAGGCTTCTTCAAGTTTCTTTAACAGGCCCCTTGGATTAAGGCTAGGCTATGGCCCTACAGCCTTAAAACTGAAGAGGATTTCATCAATAAAAAGCCCTTTGCTCAGTATCCACCTTAGCCATGACCCAAGTCAGCTGGGGGGGCACCGCAGCCCTTTCTATCCTTACACAGGAAAGTCAGTCAGCACTTAGGGTGGCAGTATTATTTCCCCTTCTGAAATTACCCACCTGGCCTCTTACTTTATTAATACACTTATTCTTGAGAAACACTCAGACTGCAGCAAACCCAAACAGTTCAGGAGACATTACATACACATCAAGCATTTAGCAGTCAATTCAATGTTTGAGGAAAGTGCCACAGTAAGAGAGCTGGAAAGCAAAACATGCTGAGCAAAATAAAGCTTTTTCCAAACTGGCAACCAGGAAACTAAGGCTGTAAAAGGGTCTGCTTTTTTCCAGAAGAAGGAAGAAAAATTGGATCACGAAGGACACTGGGGAAGGTCCAGAGGCATCAAGGCATAAAGCCCCTTCAGTTTATTTCTTAGGACTCCTATTAATCCATATAAAGCAGCACTAGTAAAGCAGTTGAGAGCTGTGGTTTACGTTGAAGTCATGTTCAGGCACTTTGAATCTCAGCTGGGTCTTCCTTGGTGAAAATTAAGTTGAATCCTTCTTGTGTCCTTCCCCCTCTCTTCTCACAGCTCTACCTTTTCAGGTAGACATACCGCACAACCTTTTTATTGCCCTTCCCTTGTTACTCCATTCTCAACAAGTCTGCATGATGTTGCAAATGTTCCCATCACCTTACATTGGAAAATATGGATCCTGGAGCTTTGTCACACACAGGTATTCACACACCTGTACCTTTGTCTTTGTAACTGATTTCCTATCTCCAGCTGGAGAGGCCAGAACAGTCATCTTTGTGCTTGGCAACTCAAATGAAATGCAGATAGATTACCAGAAAGTCTTCCTAATAAGATTCACAGTTCATCTCAGCAGCAGGATCCCCACTCAAGGCTGAGGGGGCAGGACCAGATCTTGCAGCAAGTCAAGGAGGCATGATGGTGGAGAAAAGCAAGGAGATCCCATTTGTGTGGCCACACCAGTACAACTTCCAAATATTTGGTAAGTCTTATTAAATATGAAACCATACAGCTGTGAGGACACTGCTTAGAGAGTAAGAGGAAGATTTCCATCAAAATTGTAAGAATCAAATTATTTAAGATGTGACAAAAATAATTCTACCACATTGTCTTAAAATTCATTGTTTAAAAGGTTTGTTGCAAGTCCAACCTTAAGGGGTTAAGAGAATCATGATATATTTACTCAACTTGGATTGATAATAAAGGCACACATTCTTCATTTAATTTTGTAGAGGAAATTTGAACTTTTTAATTTGAAGAGAGATGAAATATTCATTGGCATTCAAAGTCAAAAGAATAAAGACAATAAAGACAAGTGTAGTCCAGGTAAACTACTAATGAAGCCAAATAGAGTTTCTTCCTCTTAAGACCCTGCTGGGTAACTTCAAAATTATTTTGGTATTATTCTGAATAGCAGTGTAGCCAATACAGGCATACACACCAACAGAACTGTATTTGTGTGAAAACTCCAGGAATTAAACAGTTAGTTTTTTACAACAGGCTTAAGTAATGAAATAACATTTCAAACTAATTAGAAAAGGGGATTTTACTTCAGTGAAAAAATACATATGATATTAACACATCCTCCTACACAGGAAAATCTGGAAGATTTAACAAAAGCACTTTCACTGTGTCAGGTGCATTTATAGCTAATTTACATTAATACTGAGGGAAACACACATTATTTAAAAAGCTAGTTAAACATAGAGAACAACTCAGAATCAGTCTTACTCTGGTATCAGAGAGTATTTATTTTTCTTACAAGATAATTCTCAATATTGCTTGAAACTTTTAGTGCACAGAATTTGACTCAGATAACATCAACAATAATACTATTTCTAATGCCTCTGTGTTAAACTCACTGTGGGTTCCTGAAAAATCCTTTGTGGCTTTTGTCCCACAGTAGTAGCTTGAAGTTTTTGAGAAGTAGACCAGAATTCATGACACAAAGCTCCAAGAGATTATAGCCAGTTCTGTGTCAGCCCCAGTTTTGTGAATATGGACACAGTCAGCATGGTGTAACTTAGTTTCAGGAAAAGTTCAAGCTGGCCCTACTTAAAAGAAACACGTGTTTAGAAAGAAAGATCTTCACACTGCTCTGATATAAGGTAAGAATAAGGCCACTTAAACTTGGTCCTTTTTTTTCCCATGAAAAAAAGGATGAGGGAAACATCATCAGTGAAGTTTACACGTCACACATTGCATAACCCAAGACACAATGCTCTCTCTGACATTCCACTGAAGACAGGATTGCCCCGGCTCACGAGAAGTACTGTAGGTGGTGAAGGTGCACAAATGTGTACCCTGAAACAACCCTCACTAGAAGGCACACTGCTTTCTAACAGGCTCTTTGTGATGGGGAATTTGTTCCTGATGTTAGAACTACAAGAGGAAGCTCTTCCATCACACACATTCACTGCTTGACCAGCCACTGCAGCTGATCAGCCATAGGGAAAATCAATGGATAAGCAGCAGTACAAAAGCTGCAATAAAAAAAGAAAAAATCATCTGCAGTACTGCTGCTTAATGTGCCAGTTCCTTTCTATAAAGTAAACACTTTCATGTTAAGTACAAACTCTTCCAAGCTGCTTTTAAATATCACACATGCTATTTATATATTTACCTTAGTTCATCCCCTAAAGATAGGAAAAAAAATTTCTATTGTGCCTTTCATGGCATATCTGTGTTAAACCATCATGTAGTCTTCCTTTGCTGATCATTCAGTTTTGATGGGGGACTACAAAATACATTTTTGGAGCACTTGGTATTAGAATAACCAAATAGATTTAATAAAAATTGATGCTGCCATTAAAAAGGCAGAGGATAAAAAAACCAAAAATTAAAGCTCCTTATTAACGTATTACTAAAATCTACAATATTCCACCAAGTTAACATAGTCACAGCAACATTGCACTGTTAAGAGGACAGTACATTTGTCACAATCTCTTTATTGTCCACATACATAATTTATTAGCCAGTTATCTACAAGTATTATTTACCACAGGCAAACTAAATACTGTGCTTTTAAGAAACCTGCATAGAAATGATTGGATGTTTCTTTTATTTTGGACTTATTTACAAAAAGAATTTTTATGTGTGTTAGCAATAAATAATCCCAATATTCAAAATGTCAGTGCTCATGCACACACTGACAAGATGGCTGCATGCTTTAAAAAAAAATTTTACAGTACAGTCTCCTTCATAGCCCTCTCTCTCTAATAACAGCAGAAAGTGCATTTTCTTCCATATTCTTTTTCCTTTTCTTCTGTTTTCATTTACTCTTGCTTCTGAGGGATACAGCCTTCCATCTCAACAACTTCTGGCCAGCCTTCGTACTTGTTTGTGTCCTTGTTATTCTTTATATGCTATAAATGGAAAATATCAATCTGCCGTTAACGTGAAGTCATTTATCCTTTTGCTTTAACTCATAGCTTTAAGAAATACTTCTTTTCAGGCCATGAACAATGAAAAATCATCATTATTAACTTCTTGTACTTTAAATCAAATATAACAATCTGTAAGTATTCACCATTTAAAGTAACTTGCTCAGACCAGTGTATGGTAAAAAGATAAGCCATATGGGGAAGGCATTTTTAAATTTTATTATAATGTTTGCTTTGGAAGAGAGAAGCAAGGAAAATTAAAGCATTAAAGCATGAACCACTAGGTAAAAATAAATAAGGATTTCTAAATTTAAAGGCAATGAAAACAAATAGTGAGATTTGGATGAACATTTTATTTGTCCACCAAACAACCATCTACAGTCAGCTAAGACCTTATTGCCTCCAAGAGTCTGCCACTGTTTCTGCACTTAGTTTCTCCTCCCTTACAAAGCAGGCAGAAGAAAACACATCTTCCTTACCCTGCTACTACAGAGCTACTTTTACCAGTAATTAAAGGCAACATTGACACATGCTGAATTGTAACAGCTAAAATATGGGAATATATTCTATTTCAAAAATTTTGTGATGGCAGCAATTTGAGAGAAGAGCAAAGGTAACACCTGAGAGCTGGGAACACCAACACCTTAACTACCCACTTATCACATGGAAGTTCAGTGTTCTTAGTGCATCTAAAATACAACTCAGGCAGAAAGCTTTGAATTCCTCAGTTCAACTTTATTCATTAAAAGGATGAATAATCTAGTTACTGGCACAGTAAGATCTACACCATTTAAGATTTTTTTTCCTTATTTATGAGTCACCAAAGAACTTCTTTTGGTATGTTTAAAAGGAGGACGATATTTAAGGAGAAAACCTGAAAATAACACTGTGTGCTAGTACTGCAGTAGATACCCATCTTGAAGAAATGCATTTATAAAACATGCTATGCCTCTATTAATGCAGGCTCTTAAATTACAGCAAGTTATAAAATCACAAACCTGTTCAAATGGACTTTTAGTCTTAATTCCTTTACCACCACAGAAGACCCAGTTGTCTCTGAAGCCAAGGTTAGTAATGGATGTGCTTCCCAATTCTGCGATCAGTTTCCGTGCTTCCTCGTTAAGCCTTGAAAAAAACAAAGAAGTTTGTATGCAAATAAAATACATTAGCCCTTAGAGCTTTCAGTGCTCAGTGCACCTGATCTTACTTAACATACTTCAGTATATTTTAAGTCAGTCAATATTGGGTAAGATCTATCTTTCAGAATCAGGTAAGGTTAGTTCTGAAATCACCTGATGCAACAAGTGCTGCTCTTTCCTACTATAATGTCAAGGAACCAGGATATAAAGCTATCACTACACCAACAACAGCCAAGAACCCTCTCCTGTGAGAATTTATACATCTCAAGTTCTGTTAGCAGTTCTCCAAGAAACTAAAAAATTCAGCCTTTAAAGCAAACATTGTTTGCAGGCTCAAGCTGAAGTCTAGATAAAGTAAAAGCCATTTTAGATTAGAAGAATGAAACGAGTATCTGAAGTAAGTTCTCATATGCTTGGGGCAGTTGACTGAAAATCCAGAATGCTGCCTCACAGCATGGTTCAGTGTCTGTAAACCCAAGTAGGATAATTTTAGTATCAAAAGGAAAACAGTTCTGTAGGATTAGATATCATTCCAAAATCTCCAAATGGAAGCTCTTTATTTCTTCAATTTACTAAATGTGCCTGATTACCAAACAGGACACAAAACTTCTGATTACTACCACCTATTGAGATATAGCTGTATGACTCACTAGGCAAAATTATGAAAATAATTCAATACTGTGGAAGTTATTTGCCCAACCCATAGTCCAACTTTCTCAAGCATTAGGGCAGCTTGATTCTTTGCAATTTTGTTTCTAAGACCTGGCATTTATATTTACTATCAGCTACCAGTAGTAGTTGTAGTATTGTCAGTAAGCAGTAGTTCCTGTCTGTCAGCATGACAAGGCCAAATACAACTTCTTGTTTAGCTGTATTCTATCTACATACAAATTTGCAAAAACATCAGCTGTAACATGATTACTGAAGCAAAACTAACACTACTTATCTAAAATGTCAAAGAAGAAAGGGAAGAAAGTAAATTGTAAAGTGAAAAAACAAGTGAACAGAACAACAGAGATTGATCCAATCTTGGCTAAAACCCCAGCAAATTGCTTTCTTCTTCCCTAAAAGCAGTGGATGCAAACACACACTGTTTACTGTGAAGATTCCACACTGCAAAGTCAGGACTTAGTCACAGGGAGGCTGCTTCTATATCAAAAATACAGACAAGTTGTACATAAATTGAACCAAAATAGGAAAAAAAAAATGTACAGATCACATTAACAAAAAAAGTTAATTATTGGAAAAAACAGAGGAAAAGGAAAGAAGTTTCAATTTTCACTGTGAAAGACAATCCTTTGCATAGGATGACTTAAGTGAGGAGTAGATTATAATATATATTCTACAGTGATTTTAATATCTATTGAAACTGACCCAAGTTGTGAAAGTTGGAAGACAATGCTTCTAAGAGACCTGAACTCTCTTAGAATACATCTAGATTAATAAATTGAATAGCTTTAGGGTGGAACAGTAAAACACTGAGGCAAAAAAAATATAAGGCTCACACTAGCAACCTCTGTGACTTTAAACGTAAGGATACAGGCGAGGCTTGTTGGGAATGGTCTCTGCCATCCTGTAACCACCAAACTCTGTCTTGGAGATGATCTGAAGAAAGTGCAGGACAGAACACACTTTCCACCACAGTATGTTCTCATAATCACGTTCTTGTGTCTGGACCTATCTGAATTTACTAGCCTAAGACAGAATGAGCTGTCAGCAATAGAAAAATCAGCATACCTATATCTGCTTAGTTTTAGTTTGATTTTTTTTTTTGGTGCCCAAATCACATCTGCATTATAAAACTAATGGACTGAAAGTATAGTTCCAAATCTGTCACCTTGGAAGAACAAAATCTTATTAAAAGTGGTTGTGTGATAATTTTTTTTAAAAGTATATTTAATGTATAAAACAGCATGTAAAAGTTAAAGGGATATTTACTGTTTAAAATCAATTACATACTTGGTTGCACCATCATCATATGTTGCCATTAACACAATCGTTCCATCCTGGATGGTCTTCAGAAATTCAATCAGTGGTGCCACATCTGAAAAGAAAGAGAACATACAACAGTTTAATAATAAGCAATAATTCAGTATTTAAACACCTGCAAAGATATTACTTTTAAGAATATTTGTAAAGATAATATTTATATACATAAATATATATAATACTTGTATATATATCTTGATTATAAGATATGGAGTGAGAGAAAGCTAAAATGCATCAGAGAACTCTTATTTTATAAAAAGATTGTGTAAAGGCATAACCACTAATGAGAACTACTCTGGAGAACAAGTCTGATTAACCACACCATTCCCTCCCATCTCAACTACTTGTGTTTCTTTAGAGTTGCACTCTCCTCACAATTTCCAAGGCAGAGGTGAAGCACTCCCTTAACTATCACCTTAAGTCACACAGCAAATGGAATCTGGACAAGAAGGAAGAAAAAAGGCACATTTGTTGTGGTCTCTCTGACCAGTGTAATTGCACCTACCTCCTCCCCACATGTCAAAGAACTTAGTATCCAGTAATTCTCCTGTTTTACCTGAAGAAAAAAAGAAACATTTGGTGCCATCAAATATAGCCAAAATTATTTTACAGATAACAAGCCTGACTCCTCTTACACTCTTTCAGAGAAAGTGCTGCAGAAGACATTAGAAAAATGAATTATGGTAACTTTTCTTTTATGGAAACAGCATAGTGGTTTGTGAAAAAGTGCAGGAAAAGGTAAGAGGAAAAAAGTGGGAAGATCCATGGAAATGTTGTAGTCCAGGCCAGATGTGGCTTTAAGCAACCTGGTCTAGTGCAAGGTGTTGGGGGTTGGAACTGGGTGATCTCAAAGGTCCCTTCAAGCAGAGATCATTCTATTATTCTAGGCAAAATTCTGATTTTGCATCAAAATCACTTTGCTAGAAGTGGAATCTAAAATAAATGGTAACACCCACAGGCTCTAAAACCAACAAAGAATATTCAGTTCATATATCTGCCTTCTTTTAAAGTCAGTTTCGCAAAAATAGACAGTACAGCCTTAGACTGCCTTTTGTGCCACATGGAAAGTCAGAAAGATTAAAATTAGACTGCATGTTTTGCTATAGACTGGAAATTTTAAGTAGACTTAAACATCCAGAATAAATAGAAAAAAGTGGACAATATAGTTTATCTCATTACCTTTTTTTATTATGCTGTCTACAAAGGAGTATTTGATGAAAGGTGGAGTATATTTTAATATATACATTTATTTAAAGTTTGGAAGACAGAGAAAGACTGAAGCTATAAAATACAAAGATAGGTATTCTGGTTTTGAAAAGATTGAAACAATTTAGGAAAGCAACACAGGATTAGGAAGTATTGTTCAAGTTATGCTTTAAATTATGTAAATCGGAGTACAATCCACAAATAACAAGAATTTATGTTATGCAGTGAAATGACAAAGTGCTATCTCAGTGCAACAAGGAATCCTTTACCCACACATTAAAGACAAATCTGCCAGTGCTGACATTCAGTTCAGCTTTCAAGGTAACACACACTTAAACTTGTTTGGTTTTAATGAAAATTACAAACCCTGAACACATTTACCTAATATGATGTATTTACGGACAAGATCTATGGACCAAATATTCTAATTCGAGTGAGGAAATAATGAACTGGTCCTGTTGTGTAGTAACAAAACTATTAAAGATGCTAAAGAAGTTTCACTGAAAACAGCAACAGAAGAATACAGTCTACAGTTTAATTACTGGTGGCAACACACAAGGTCAAGAGAAGTAGCATGCATCTCATGTCTTTTTCCATTTTTCTGTGCATTAGGAATTTACATGATATATCAAGAAGGCAGTCACCACAGCATTCCACATTACTACTTTTATAACCCATTTTTAGAAGCAAAAATGCACTGAGTTTTCTGCTTTGTAACAAGGTGTCAGTGCCAATACCTGACATGACCTCAGTGTAAATAAGCTGAATACTTCCTTTTCTCCTTGGTGCTTGCCTTTCACCATCAAATAGTATTTCACCTGAAATTTTAGAAACAATTTGAAAATGAAGACAATCTGCCCACTTAAAATGTCACTTACCATTGACCAAGGCCATATTTATTCCTCTGCCAACATTATTTTTTACTCCACTCATTAAACTGCAACAAAATAAATATTTTTATTTTTAATAGGGCAATTTTCTGATTGAAATATTTCTGGTTTTTAAATAGGATTGAGTTCTAAGAGATACATAGTTAAAAGACTGCATGTTCACAAGTATTTAAATGAAGCAAAATCTCCTTGAACTAATCTATGTTCTTAAAGCACTGCTGAATTTAGAATAATACATCAAGTATCACCAGCTGTATTGATTTTATTTGATTGCTTAATCATGGTTTCAAAGTATGTCTGTATATTAAAATTGCTATAAAACTAGTGTTACTTATGTAGTTATGTTATTAGTGTTTTAAAAAAAATAACCTAATATTAATTTGTGGAGCTCAGCAGTCACATAACCAACATTTTAAGCTTTAACATTTTTTTTTGCAAGAACACAATGAAGAAAAATGTGTCAATGAGTTTAAAAGTTAACTGAACAGAAGCATTTAAAATTCACATTAAGAAACAAGAAAGGTAAAGCACTTAGCTTATACATAACAGGAAACCAAACTGTAAGAAAAATAGTGCAGTGATGGGACTTTAAGCAAAAGTTGCATGCAATCTTGGACTAAAATCCCAAAAACATGTCAGAATCTATGACAGTAATTTATTGAGCAAACTCAAGTGGGGCAAAGGGGCTGAAGAGTCCCATTGTGAAATGGAAGCCCTTAAGAGTGGTAAAGAGGAAGAAACAGGAATGTTAGGATTTATAGAGGATGCTGTGCTGACTTAGACCACGGTGGCTGTACCACTCCAGTGAGAGAAAGCTTCCAGACCTGCCTCACTGGCAATTCACACAGTGTGAAGAACTCTGATCTGCCTTCAGGCCCCAAATATCCCTCAGTTAACAAGCTAGGATTAAAAGAGGTAACAAACAGGACAAACAGTTGGAACAATTACATAATTTAAGATAATGAAGAAGCCTTCAGCTGAGATTAAAGAAAGCATCTCAGCAAGAGCAGAGGTGCACACATGTCCTTAGTTACAAACACTCTAAAAGATGTTTTAATTTCATCCTGACCAGGATTTCTTTAACCTCCCTAGCTGGCTTTAGGAAGGGGCTGCACATGTGTACAATCCTGTTATGTTCAAAATTTTATTACGTTTCTTGGGCAGCAATATGATTTTCCAGTCATGTCTGAACACCTGTCCTCAGCAATCCTTACACACACAGCTTCCACACCAGCTCTCTCATGCCAGCTTCCTAGTGACAGGCTAGAAACAAGAAATGGTCTATCATGTCCAAAATCTTCCTCTCTGGTGCTATCTTTTGCACCCAGGATGAAGAGAGAAGCCAAAATTTAGAGGAATGACAAACTGAATAGACAAGTATTAGAAACAGACTCATTCAGAAAGGCTGTGAAAGACCACCCAGATAAGGGCACCTCTTTGCAGAGTGAATTTAAAAGGTTTTAAAGAACTAGTAATCAGAGATGATCAAATTCATATTCTTCTGTTAGTTCCTTAAATTATACTATCTGCCAAAAACTGTCATTTAAATTAAAACTCTAATTCAGTAATTTCTGAAAGAAAATACTTGACATTTTCTGCTGAAATTCAGAATTTAATTCTACTTAGTAGGGAACTCCAGAAGTATTTTAGCTACCGGAGGATCAATTCTGCTCTGATCATGTGATTTTCATGCCATGTCTGAGCATCCATTCTAAACAAGAAAAACATGGCAAATAAAGATTGGAACATAAATTAATAAGGGCAGTGAAGTTCTGAATCTATTCTTTTCCTCCTGACAAATTTAGTGGGCATTTAATTTACCAAAAAAGAATAAGAACTTCCTTTTATTTTAACTACAAAATTCTCTGTAAATAAGTACCAGTAGAAAAATATCTAATACTGAGGTGACTAGACACTGAAACTCCACATTTTCAGTATCTAGTCACAGACATATATTTAAAAAGTTATAATGGATTCAGATATCAAAACCTGCAACTATGAATCCAAGAATTGCTAGTTACTAAAGGAATGTAGTACAACGTTCTGCCATTGGGTTACTGTGGCACAATCATGCAACTGGCTTCATACTAAAGTAAAACTGCATGGAGAAGTTGCTGGTAAATAAGTAAATACAGCCCCTTCTAAGAAGCCCATGAAGTAGCAACTACAGTATTTAATATTTTGATGATGAGTCCAGCAGATTATGACCTCCCAATACAGAACAAGGCTATAAATGAACTTGTATACAGCAGAAATCCCGTTTCACATTAAAATATGTATATAATAAAGCAAAGTTGAAAAATTATTTGCATTCTGAATAGTATCAGCAACTTTAGTGCTTTCATACATCAAGTGACATCCCTACACTTAATACAAAGGAAAAATACTCTAAATAGCATTCACAAATTATAAAAACTCATTTCTGCTGTCCTGTCTTGGAAGTATGAAGAAGACAAAGTAATCAGAAAAAGAAAAACATTTTTCCAGGTATGAGTTCAAAATATAAAAAAAAAAGCTACTCAAGAGGAAACTATATTCTTTCAGAGCTCAGATATATTACTTTACACACTTGAGACAGCTTGTGCATCATCACAAACACAACAGGCTGCAATGCAACAGCTTCTCACAGGAGGGCAGCCCTTCATCAGTTTTAGAATTCTTCCAAGAATTTACAGTCAACAAGTTGAGAGCTTTTGAAAGAGAAAGAAAACCTCTTTTGAGCAAAGCAGGAGATCATATAAAAACAATCAGAAAATTTGATTGATTTGACAGATAGGTTTGACAGGCATGACCAGTTCTCCTCTGAAGGAATTCAGAAATATGCTTCCCAAGGAAAGCTGGACTTTGGAATCCAATAGCTGTGAATTGAAGTGCCTGCTCAGAGGACTCTTTACAGCAACTACTTTTTTTTCATCACTTTCTCCAGCAAAGTATCTAGTAGAGTATTTTCTCTTTTTTGGACAGAAATAACAAAACTCTTCTTAGTTAATCAGTTGGCAAGATATTAAAACAAAAAAAAAAGGTCAAAAATCCCAACAACCCTGAAATTAAAATATATTACCTGCATTCTCACAACTTTTAATCATCAAATCAGCTTAAGTCTTCACAGATATTAAGCTTCCTATATTAAGTAACCAGAATGAGACAGTGGCATGTTTTGTAACACCAGCAGAAATACCATGCTGAGAGATTAGATTAGCCTGCCCAAGGTCACCAAGCGAGTCCCCAGTGAGAATGGAAAGCAGAAGGAGCACCCTGCAGTTGGTAGGTGCCAAGGTGAGCTCACGTGCTCCCCAACACCACCAGGTGCTCTGCTGCAAACTGACTCCCACACAAGGGAGCTAAGCCAGCCTTACACAGGAATGCTGCTTGGTGCTAGATACAGGCTCCTCTAAGATCACTTGACACTAGTTCCACACCTATGTTAGACAGTAAAGTGGTGGAAAATGCTGCCAATACATTTTTTTTTCTCTTCTACATGAACTAAGCTATTTAATATGTGGGGTTCTGTTGTTCACAGCCAAGTTGCCATTGGCTCTAGAATTCATTAGCACCAGCTGCTGTATGTGCTATCTGTACTAATATAGAGTGAGCTGAGAAACAGATAAACTGGAGAAGCTTAAGTGGAAGGCAAAAGCATTAAGTGTGACTGATACTAAAAAAAACCAACTCCTTTCAGCAACATCATGTCTTTTCTGACACGCTACCTGCAAAATCAAGTGGATAAATTATGAAATAGGAAGCTTCACACTCTGGGTAACAATAAGCAGGAACAACATAAGAGGAAAAACACATTTAAAAATAAATACTAATATTGCCATTATGGGAATTACCGAAAAGTACTCAGTTAAATACTTTATGCACAGTACTATTGATAATACTGTGTCAAAAGCATTATTAAAAAGAGGACTTAAAACCAAACTGTCTCAAGCACTTGTTTTCCTCGTTTCAAAATTATTTAAAGTTTATTAACTTTAGTTACCATCAGCACAGTTAAATAACTACCAATCATTAAAATATTATTTTCCTTTTTGAAGGCAACCTTAGAAGAAAAGTAGAAAATATGTTCTGACATTCGTACAGACGAAATATAGTTTAGAAGATTACTTGCAAAAGACAATACAATTATTCACTGAATTACTGTTAGAGGCACAAGGACAAGTTACTTAGAGACAAGTGTGCATTTGACTTGACAAAATCTAACTAACCCTTAAGTCTGAAAACCTGAAACAAAGTGCAAGCTATCTCACATGTATTAAAATCACATACAGATTTAATTTACATACATTTACTGGCATAGCATTAAGTGTGCTTCATCAGAGATAAGGTTATAATGCAATGTGACCTTTCCATGGAACCAAAGTGTTTACAGAAAAACCCTAATTTAACCTGCTGATTTTGTGTGCAAAGTGATCGAAGTATTTGAAAGAGACGCTTAAAAACAACAGGTAAAAATACTTACACATTATCCTCTACACAAATTTTGGGTCCAACTACATTCGCTGCTCCACTTGACATTTTGAATGCAAAATGCTTTTCAGGACAAGCTTTAGAGATTCCACACTTGTATCTTGGAGGTTTTGTAGCTTTCAAAAGGAAATAAACCAAGATTTTAGAGAACACCAGAGGTAGGCTAACTGACAAATCTATTCTGAAGGAATTCAAGGAAGAGAGCAAACACAAACACTATTGCATCTGTAGTTACACAGCAGTTTAAAATAGTCTAAGTTCCTGAAGCACTTCATTATTCCAACTTCTTGTTGCCACCCTGCTGCTTGTTCTGGCAATGTCATCAAAAGCCACAAGCCAAAACTACAAAACAGACTTTACCAGAAATTTAGGAAAATCAGGAGAAGAGGAAAATTAGTTTCTGATTGCATTTGAAGTGCAATTAAGACTTTCTTAAGTATGAAAATTCATCAGTCTTTCTGTTATTAGTAAAAGCAAGTCACAGCAGTAATACATGTCTATGAATACTCACAGCGTGCAGCTGCATCCAATGCTGATCTAGCTAAAATGAAAAAAGAAAGTTTTACAAGATGTTACTATTAAAATGTCATCTGCTAAATCATATCCTATAAATGTAAAATCTTTATGTACCCCTACAAAAACAGGCTGGTTGAAATGAAGTATCAAACACACCTGAATATTATGCTCCAATCAAAAACAACTTTTATGCATTAGCAGAATGAAAGTGATTAGAAGTGATCAGAAGCACTGCTTTAATTTATGGCTCCTTGACAGTCATGGAGTCAAAAACCCACAGATATCCAAAAATCTCTGAGAGTTTATGGAGTTCAGGGCATTGAAGTGAAATTAATTCCCTCCTTACAGTTTCACTGGGATGGGGCTCCTTTCACCTAAACTGGAAGTCTGCAGCTCAGGTGTATTTCAACCCAGCCATTCCTGACTCCCTTTCCTGAGATATGAAGAGACACAGGAGCCCCCATCATGCACACATCTGGATGGCACCTCTGTCTCTTCAATAATTACTAAAGATGTCTCTGCTGACTGGTTTGGATGGCAGCTTACACTGCAGTAACCCAGAGTTAAAGAGCACAAACTCCGCCCATGTACTAACCATTGTTCGGGGGTTTTCTGGTAATAAAAAGCACCTTGGAAGAAAATTCTGGTTCAAAATAGACAATGAAATTTGAGACACCTCAACTGCTAATCTTTTTCTGCACAGGACACCTGGGCACAGCTGGAATGTTTTGATTACTGTACATTCAATTAAACATGGTAGCACATCTGCACAAGAGAAAAAGCCCCCTCAAAATAAATTCCAAATCTCTTTAGCAGTAGTAAGGCAGAGCACAGATTTCCAGAAACATGGTTCAAGTCACCTGATTTATTACTCTACACTAAGAATGCATTTCCAGTAAACAAAAAAAAAAAAGCAGGTAAAATTATATCTCCTTGGCAGATAGAATCAAACTGATTAAGAGAGTAGGCTAAGTATTTCATACAGAAAATAAATTATACATATATTATATACAAAAAATAACAAGCACACACATATTAAGGATAAACACAGTATTCTTAAGTTGAAGAGCCTAAGGAAAAACTAATACAATATTCTAGATAAAGGCTCAAGTAAATATTAATAAACATCCAGACAAAACAAAGCCACCACTTACCAAAAATGTGTCCTAAGTTTGCATCCATTTTTATTTCAAACACTTGAGATATGACATAAAACGTCAATAAAAATATTGCTATGACTACTACCAACTTTGCAGCACCTGTTAAGAAATGGAAAGAAGTTTCAAAAAATTATCTGCAAATGGTAACATTGGTTTACTAAAACCAGCAACATGAGAAACGTGTATCAGATTACATTCTGGGGAGCTCAGAAACAGGATGATCATTTGTAGACCTACTAAACAGAGTAAGTCTGAAAAAAAGGATGGCTGTTATGGATGGATATTGTAATGTAGGATGGATATTAGAATATAGGATGTAACTGCACCAATCCATCAGGCTATCATACTGAATGCACTCTGCTCTTAACTTTCTCTGCCATCATGCTTGTCTGACACCATAGTACACCAGCTTAGCTCAGCAGTCGGGAGAAACCAGACTTCCATGAAAATCCAGCTTAACCAAATGAACTAAGATGATCTACACAGCTATCATCCAAAGGCAAAATTCCCACCTTCCCCATTCCACTTCCCTCTTCTTAGCCAGGAGTACCTGGCTCCTCACAAACAACAACAAAACACCAAAATCAAACCACCAGCCAACCAGAAACAAGCATTCTCACTTAAGAAAAAGTGAGACTTCTCTCAAAAAGCAAGTTGGATGACTTAAAGGCTATTTTAAAATAAATAAGAAAAAGCAGTACCTCTCCTGTCCCCCTTTTAACATACTGAAGCAGGCAGCTCTAAGTTTTACAAGGCTAAGTTCCTGCAGTGCTGAGTGGCCAATCTACTTCCTGGGAGAAGAGCTGTAACCACACAGCCACAGCAACCTACATCTGAAATGGAAATGTATCTGATACTGCCACAATTCTCACCATTTTTTAGCATAATTTGCAATACATTTTTACAGAATACTCCACTCTTAACTGACTGCAAAATACTGACTAAAAAGTACTGACTGAGAGTACGAGTCATGTGAGGAGGCATCTGATCAACATTCTGCCTTCCTATCTCATTGCAGTATGTCAAACTGGTTGGAAGAATCAACCTGAAAGCATGCTCTTTTTTCTCAGATTGCCAGCCAAACCCTTTAGAAAAAACCAAACTTATATACTCCTGCAGATCTCAGACTGCTGCTGTGATGGACTGCTCAGAAAAACTTAAAATAGACAGATTACTCAGCCTTCAGAAGGATGAGAGATGCTAATCAGTCCTCCCAAAAGGCTAAAAAAAGATAAGGGGACAGAAAAAGAAAATAAAGATGAAGAAAGATAGAAGGGTTTTTTGCTTGTAGTTTGGTCTTTTTTTTTCCTGTGTGAGCACATACATATTATGATGTAAGAAAACAAAGGTGCAGACCTAGTTGAAAAATATTATGCTGGAACTCCAAAGATCACTGCACTGGAAAGGAAAGGAACCATGTGTAAGCACTGGAGAAGCAGATGATCTGAACATATGTTAAGAAATGGGGTAAAGGTTTTCCAAGCAACACTCCTTAAAACCACAAGATGGTACCAGATTTTGGAATGTGTCATCTAGCAAGTGGCATTTGGAGAGCATGTTTTAGTATACAGTATGTGAGATGAACAAGAACTCCATCTGAGGACTAACCATCCCCTCTACTCTATATTCTGAGCTTTGCAAGTGAACTGCAAGTGCTCCCTCCAAAGGAACAGTAAGAAGTCTCCTAGAAGGTTCTTGAAGCATTTGAAGCAAAACTGTATGTTTGATATGGGTGAAACATTCTATAGGAAATGCCATATCTACTTTGTGGTTTTTAGAAAAAAAATAAATAAAAAACATGTATGTAAGGGGGAAAAAAAACCCTAACCATGTTTGGAAAGTAATTTTTCAGGTGAATCAGGCACCTGGAAATTGGAGCATTTTCCAGCTCTTTATTGGATTTACTTTAGCAAATTGCTCCCAGTTATATATATATTGTGGTTAATAAAGCAAAATTAGGAGTAGTGTCAAAATTTGCTTGCATTAGCAAGCTCTTGGAAAAGGTGTCATTCTCTTCTAGATGAGGCAACAGTTTCTCCTTCTGCAAAATAACATTATTAATAAAAGTGCAATGCAGCAGAAACTCAAAACTGTTCCATTGCTACACAGGCTATTCTACTGTCTGTGTCTGTAAATGTCAAAAACAATGTTTTCTTTTACTGCTATATTAGCAAAGATCTTATTTTCACAACCACTATAACTTCTGTCAAGTAGAATTAGTTTCTTAAAGCCTGTTCTACAGTAACTTAGCTCTGTGAAAAGGCTTTTATAGTTTTCAAGCTCCCAGCAGCCATTCAGAAAGTTTCAGACACTTAAAACAGCACATAGCAACTTTGGTGAGGCGGGAAAGAAATGGCTTAAGACAACCATTTCCAACTTCCTTATTCCTTCATCGTCTTACAGAAATAGCAGCCGAAATATGTCAAGTCAAGGCACCCTAAGCAGTCACTGCAGATCAGCTACAAGCACTTTAACAAGGTAATTACTCTTCAACCATGCCAATTCCTAAATGAGTTTCATTAAACGTCAATAAAGTAGAACAGCAATGCCTGTTATGCCAGTTAAGTGAAGCATACCCGGACAGGGTTTGATGGTGATACCAAACTGAGTGGGAGCAGGCATGTCTAAAGGGAGAGCCAACCTGCAGGAACACCTGGATGGGCTGGAAGAATGGGCTAACAGGAACAGTGAAGTTCAACAAGGACAAGTGTAAAATCTTCCACCACAGAACTCATAATCCAGCAGTAAAGAACAGACTGGAATCTACCCAGCTGGGGAGCAGGTTTGTGGAAAAGGACTAGAGCATTCTGGTGGACAACAAGCTCAATACAAATGGAGGAAGCTGGCAAAGAAGCCACAAGATGCTGGGCTGCATCAACGAGAGCATCACCAGCAGACAGAGATAAAGTCATTATTCCTCTCTGCACAGCACTTGTCAGGTCACACTTATTACACTCCCTTCAGTGCTGGATCCTGTTATTAAAAAAAGAAAAAAGTCCAAGACATGGACAATCTAGAGACAGTCCAACACAAAGATAATCAAAGGACTCGGAAGCCTGCCAAATGAGGAAAGGCTGAGACTGCTGGGTTTATTCAGCCTTGAGACAAGACTTACAGGAGAACTTAGTACAATGTTCCAGTATTTCAAGGGTGGCTACAAAGAAGATGGAGACTCCCTTTTTACAAGGAGTCACATGGAAAACAAGAGGGGTAGTGGGTACAAGTTATTCTGGGGAAGATTCCAATTAGACATGGAAAATTTGTCACAGTGAGAACAATCATACATTGGAATAATCTCCCCAGGAAGTGGTGGACTCCCTAACACTGATCATTTTAAAATCTGGCTGGACAGAGTGCTGGGCTAGGGTTCAAATTAGACCAAGTTATAGCAGTATGAAAATTATAGGGTAAAATACAGCTGCCACTTCCTGGATGGAATGCTGTGAGCATGCTCAAATCCTATCCCACAATGATTCCATGCGTACACAATCTGCAACCTCAAGCACATGCTAACGGGAAACAGAGTGGAGCAGAGTGGAAACTCCTTGACCAGGCTCTGTTGAAATCAAATGGTCCTTTGTAGCTGATAAACCAGTACAGCACCTGTCAACCAAGGGAGATAGAGCAGGTATTTTGCTGCTGAACCAGCAACTGTGGTAAAATCACTCATCTGAGATGAACTCTGTTCTTTGTAACTTAACTGTAATATTAACTTACACCATCATCCCAAAGTTACCTGCCCCCAGTGTACGACCACCCCCCACTGAGCACATGCTCTGTATTTTATTGACTATATCTGTAGCAGCTAAGCAAAAGAATTTCACATCAATGAGTAACAAAAGTATGTATTACTACTAGAGTCATTCAAGATCCTCCCAAATGAACATTGAAGGGTCCCATAACAGGACACAGACTAGTCAGGCACAAGGATCTGGGCTTTCCTGGTATGCTGACAGACTAATCAAACACTCAAGGTTTGAGGAAACCTCCACTTTTCACATGACAACTTTCTTGTGCTTCCGACAAGAAATGTCAGACCAGATGATTCTTGAGATCCCTTTTAATCTGGTATTCTACAATTCTATGACTTTGAAACCTTACTGTCACAACTTGTTAATGTTGTCCATAGCAGTCATTTCATAAATGACCAAAGTCTGATTTTACAGAGCATACTTACCTGCTATTCTCATGTTTAGTCTTCAGCCAGCTAATGACACTATTGCATTAAAACAGCCACCTACGGGAAACAAACAAAAATAAAAAATAAAGCAAAAACTAAAATTATTCACCGTAATTAGAGCCAAAAAAGCACTTTTGTGATGAGTAAAAAAAAACCCATCCATTTTCTAGTCAATAAAAGTAACGATGATTGTTCTGAATACCTGTTTCTTAACACTCACAGCTATGGGAAGATTTAAGATATATTTCTGATGTCTTGCTTTCATCTGTTTCTCCACAGAAGAAGTATTCTGAAAAAAACCATAAATTTCATCTAATCCCCTACAAATTCAGTTTAACTTTCAGTCCTTCAATTTGTGACCTAAGTACTTACCAGTGCACTATCTAAGCAGTCTTCAGTTTCCTAAAGCTATGTGGTAAAAGTCAACAACTCCATCAAAACCCTACCTGCTTCTGGGTGCAAGTTGCTATTTGGCAACATAGCATAGCAAACTATGCTTTGGAGAGGAAAGATTTAAGCATTTTGGTCTCTAGGATACTACATAAACGGCATTCAATGGAACTGAAAGAAGGTCAGCACTTTAATCTCTACATCACAGAAATGTAACAACACATTTGTCACTCATAGGTACAGACAGAGGAATAACATGACAGTCAACAATGACAGAAGCACCAACCCTAGTACAACAATTACTTCAGAATAAACTGAAAACCACTCTAAGCAAACAGTGCCTAAGCATCTACCAGCTTCTTGAGAAGAGCAGGTCACCACACCGAGTCAAACTGGGCCACAAACTCCACAGGCTCTGAACAAAAGCTCCCACCTCCTCCTCAAGCAGCTCAGGGTCCAGGGGCCATACCCAATCTTCTGCACTCCACCTGCAGAGCCAGAGCTGCTCCAGGGGGGCTCTGTACCATGCTCATGCTCAGTCCTGGTGCACACATGCTGCACTGAGCCTGGACATCTGGTTCAACTTTTCCCAATGCAGGGATCTTGTAAAGTCATCTACACTATTGCCACACTGAAAATGTAATCAGCTATCACTATAATCCAAGCAGCTGCCCCAACCCATCACAAAAGCTACAGCATCCCTAACCCTCTGCAGTCCTATGCCATGATTTTGAAAAACATCAAAAACATTATCTTTAGAAATTATTAGAAAAACTGCTGTTATTAGAAATACAAATTATTTGGAGACAAGCACTAAAACACCCACATAGTTCTCATGGTCTATACTAGGGAGAAAAAGTCAGTATTATGCAGGCAACCTTTTGCCTTCACTTAGTTCAGTATCTTCAAGTTCAGTGGTGTGTGTTCAGACCCTCTTTTCTGAAGACTCAGTCATTGTGCCCTATCCCTTCAAGTTTACATGAAAATGTCAGCATAGGAATAAACAGGGAAAAAAAAAATCCAAGTACAGAAATATTTGTTTCCATTCTATCAGAATTTGAAAATGCTTATCACCAAAGTTTAAAAGCAGACAAATGTTTTTGAGTACTAATGTTGTACAGTAAAGGAAATCTCACAGCATATTATAGACCATAATATATCCATTTAGCTGCAGCCACACATATTATATCCTCATAGAAGAACTTTTTTCAGGGAAAGGCTAGTAGTTATCTGTCTTGTAAAAAGGCAAAAATGAATCTGTTGGGGCAGATAAACTCATTTTATTTCAAAGTCTGGGAATAGAATTATTCTAGGCTTCTTCCTCTGCAGATACCCAGAAATATCTCAATGTTACAATAAACACTGGCTGTTCTTTGAACAACTATAAGCTTGTTTTAGGTCTGCATTGAAAAAAAAAGTAGTTTCCTTTTTTGTTTTACCCTGAACAAAACCACATCATGAATTCAAAGCATGTAAATAAGAATATGAACAAAACCAGAAAGAAGAATCTAAGTGAAACAATCACATGATCTAACCTTGACTGCTTTTATCCCAATATTCCCTTTCACCCATTTCAGGGATCATTATTTGCTGCAATCAACAAATAAAAATATGCATTCTTTTTTAAGTATGGAATGTGGCTTGATTTAGAAAAAGAAAAAATGAGTATACTATGCCTAAACTTGAAAGGAATGTAAAACTTTAGTGATTCTTTTTCTAAATTACAGTATACTGAAAAATCATGAGGTTTGATTTACCAAAAAATACAGTAGTGCTACAGTACAGACAAGTGTTACACAGCACTTTCCAGCTGCAGGAAAATAATTTATGGACATCAAGTCCTTCTCCTACACTTATTATCTTAGATTGTTTTTTTGAAGTATTTCAAGACAGAACAGGAATAAATCAGGTCAAGCTGTGAACCCTTATAAATGCTTATGGACCATTACTCCACATCTTTGGTATAAGATGTCATTAGATTTGGAATTTCATAACTGAAATTAGAGAACTGTTTAGAATTGGTATGGAATTTTTAATAGTCTACATTTTTGGATCATTTAAAAACAAACAACACAGAATCACAACTGAGCTTGCTCAAACTCGGATGCAGAAAACCAGTACCAACAACATTCCTTTGATTGCTTTAGAAATGAGCCAAAACAACCTACACTCTATTTTTCTCTTCTTTGACATAAATTCCATCAAGCAGAGGCAGGAGAATTAGAACCTTAGTATCCTCCTGACTTAGGAGGGTCAAGTAATACAAATAACCATTTATTACTACATCATTCTCTGTCAGGCAGTACAAAAAGGCCCCTCTGCATCCTTTATTAGAGACTGAGGCAGGAGCTGCAGCCCACGGCAGGGTTGACAGGCAGTGTCCCCATGAGTACAGCAGAACCCAAGGAGGGGCAAAGGCCAAGGAAAACACCACAAAACAGGCAGCAGAAGCAAGCAACATCTTCAAGTTGCAAAGTAAATGGCTGGGTTTGGGAAGCATCATGTGACTTAAATACAGATTTTCTTTTTCTTCAGACTGTTTTCTTAGCACAAAATTTAGGAAGTTTTTCAAAGTCTACAGCTTGGACGGCAGAAAGAAACCAAAAATTCTCTCGTGCAACAGTGCCTTGAAATGAAAAGTTATCCACAAAAGACTCTGAACAGGAGAAGACAAGAAATTAGAGGTTATAAAATCCTTTTTGAATGCTGGCACGTCACTGTCCAGTTCCCCACACAGAGTTGCACATCCATCCATGCAGAAAAAGATTATTTATTCTAGATACAAACTAGGGAGAGGATATACGTAAAGACAGCAGGGAGCTGAGATTACTGGTTGCTTTTTTCCTGCCTCCTTGTGCATCCCAAATAACCCCATTGACAGTTTAAAATGCTCTCCATGGGGCACAGAAAACAGCAGTTTACAATAAAAAAAAAAAAAGGTAGGAAAAAACCAAAAAAAACCAAGGGCTTTCCCCCACTCTGTTCCACCTGAATAATTTGTGTGCTATGACATACCCAATACAAATACAAAAATTTCATATATGTATTTCATATATAACTCCACAGAGCTACTACAAATATTTTTGTTCATACCTAAACTAGTTTCAATAAGTAGACCAGTAGATGCTTGCTTTTAAAACTAACCTGTGTCTCTTGAGGGAATCCTGCTAGGCCCTTCCCAAAGGAAGCTAATAATATGACTTCATTTAGGAAAATTACAAGCCTATAATCCTTCCAAGCAAATCATTATCATATTTTTTTAGATGATATAAAGTTTCTAACACATCGAGTTTTTTCATGTGTTAGACCAAGTGGTCATCAAGCAAGTTTTCCTCCTAGAATCATTGTGCAAGAGGAAACGGCATTGAGATAATTGACAAATTAACACTTCCTATTAATCTGGCCTCACTGACATAACACTGAATGAAGAGCAGATTTCAGTCCCAAACTGAATGCAATTCAATTTGGTTAATTCTTTATCAGGCTTTTCTCAACACTTGTCCAGAGATGGGACACACGTCACTAGGGCAGGAGCACAGCCTCTGCCCTACTTACTGTGCAGAAAGCTGTGGCCACTTACCACAAACTTTGCCTTAAGAGGGGTTTCAGATATGATTGTAATTAATGTTTTGAAGGATGATAATGAAACATGTAGATTAGTCTATTTCATTTGCAGGATAATAGTATTTCCATTAGCAACTTGATAACACGAGTGGATTATGCTTACAAAAAGGGCACACAAAAACAAGCAAAGATGAGAGGCAAGAATTTAGAAGGTCAAGATAATTTTGAATGCTGACCTTAGCTGATTAGGAAGAGGTCTCAAAACCAATAACAATACTTAATAAAACCGAAAATTATACACTCCAAAATTGACATCAAGTGCAGCAAAACAAGCAGCAGAAATGGAAAAAGAGATTATAGCAGCTCCCTGATATTGGGGTCAACAATGTCGTACTGCCACAAAAGTCTAACTGTTCATTGTGAACTGCACTGATAGGACAGCTGCATATGGAAAAAAAAGCAATTATTCTGTACAGCCTAAATAAACAAAAAATACCCTACTCTATGTGCTATCTTGACTTTTAATTGAGACTTGTGTACTTTTTTCCTATCTCAATGCATAATCCCCAAATGGAAGAATCTAGATAAGAATTACATGACCTAAATAAACCAACTAAGGGATAAAAGAATCAAGTCTGCTTTGCAAGGAACTGTGAAAGAGAGAAGTCAGTCTTTATCTCTTATCTTCAAGGTGTAATTCTAAAATTTTTTAGAAATTCTTTTTTTTTTTAAATAATACTACTATTTATAGCAAATTTAAAATATATATTAAAGACATTATTACTTTAAATATATATTTTTATAATGAAAAAAAAATGCTGAGAATAACCACTCTCGGTATTCCCTGGCTGCTGTTTACCTATTTGCAGTTATAAGTATATAACCTTACAGTTACAAGGATAAACAAAAAATTAAAAGGAGGCTGTAAATAATCATAAAAGTCTGGAAACAGAGACAATTTTTCTTAACACAGATAGTCTACAAGGTGTGAGCTAATGTCTCCTTCAATATTAAGCCCACATTTCTATACTATTACATGCAAATCTGTACCCAGGTTATGTTATATTAAATATGTGGCAGCCTGACATGTTTTGCATTCAATT